GTCGGGCCTGTCCCCCTACAGGGGGATTTTCGACGGAAAAAAACATACCCCCAAAATAATCAAAAATAGTCCAAGAATAGTCTGGGGACTTTTTTAAACTATGTTTTGACCTTATTGGGGCATTTCTGGGGTATTTTTCCCCACATCCTGAGTGGGGTTCTTGTTTTCCCAGAACACCCTCTCCTTCCCACCCACCTCCCGCTCCATCTTCCATACAGCACAATGTTATTCCTACCACACACACCATACCATACCATAGTTCCTACCACACATACCATACCATACCATACCATACCATACCATACCATACCACACCATACGTGCCATACCGTACCGTACCATACCATACCATGGCGTACCATAGCATACCATACCATATAACACCAATGCCACACCGTACCATACCATACCATACCTCCAGTACCATACCATACCATCCGTACCATACCATACCATACCATTCCCCTCCAGGGAGGCCCCGCCTGAGCGAGGAGGGTATCGGAATACCATACTATTTACATGGTTTCGTGCCCCTCCCACCCCTCCAGGGAGGCCCCGCCTGAGCGAGGAGGGTATCGGAATACCATACTATTTACATGGTTTCGTGCCCCTCCCACCCCTCCAGGGAGGCCCCGCCTGAGCGAGGAGGGTATCGGAATACCATACTATTTTCATGGTTTCGTGCCCCTCCCACCCCTCCAGGGAGGCCCCGCCTGAGCGAGGAGGGTATCGGAATACCATACTATTTACATGGTTTCGTGCCCCTCCCACCCCTACAGGGAGGCCCCGCCTGAGCGAGGAGGGTATCGGAATACCATACTATTTACATGGTTTCGTGCCCCTCCCACCCCTCCAGGGAGGCCCCGCCTGAGCGAGGAGGGTATCGGAATACCATACTATTTACATGGTTTCGTGCCCCTCCCACCCCTCCAGGGAAGGCCCCGCCTGAGCGAGGAGGGTATCGGAATACCATACTATTTACATGGTTTCGTGCCCCTCCCACCCCTCCAGGGAGGCCCCGCCTGAGCGAGGCGGGTATCGGAATACCATACTATTTACCTGGTTTCGTGCCCCTCCCACCCCTCCAGGGAGGCCCGCCTGAGCGAGGAGGGTATCGGAATACCATACTATTTACATGGTTTCGTGCCCCTCCCACCCCTCCAAGGAGGCCCCGCCTGAGCGAGGAGGGTATCGGAATACCATACTATTTACATGGTTTCGTGCCCCTCCCACCCCTCCAGGGAGGCCCCGCCTGAGCGAGGAGGGTAACCGAAAACCATACTATTTACATGGTTTCGTGCCCCTCCCACCCCTCCAGGGAGGCCCCGCCTGAGCGAGGAGGGTATCGGAAAACCATACTATTTACATGGTTTCGTGCCCCTCCCACCCCTCCAGGGAGGCCCAGCCTGAGCGAGGAGGGTATCGGAAAACCATACTATTTACACGGTTTCGTGCCCCTCCCACCCCTCCAGGGAGGCCCCGCCTGAGCGAGGAAGGTATCGGCAAACCATACTATTTACATGGTTTCGTGCCCCTCCCACCCCTCCGGGGAGGCCCCGCCACAGCGAGGAGGATATCGGCAAGCCATACTATTACATGGTTTCGTGCCCCTCCCACCCCTCCAGGGAGGCCCCGCCTGAGCGAGGAGGGTATAGGAAAACCATACTATTTACATGGTTTCGTGCCCCTCCCACCCCTCCAGGGAGGCCCCGCCTGAGCGAGGAGGGTATCGGAATACCATACTATTTACATGGTTTCGTGCCCCTCCCACACCTCCAGGGAGGCCCCGCCCGAGCGAGGAGGGTATCCGAAAACCATATTATTTACATGGTTTCGTGCCCCTCCCACCCCTCCAGGGAGGCCCCGCCTGAGCGAGGAGGGTATCGGAAGACCATACTATTTACATTGTTTCGTGCCCCTCCCACCCCTCCAGGGAGGCCCCGCCTGAGCGAGGAGGGTATCGGAAACCCATACTATTTACATGGTTTCGTGCCCCTCCCACATCTCCAGGGAGGCCCCGCCTAAGCGAGGAGGGTATGACACCCATACTGTTTACATGGTTTCGTGCCCTCCCACCCCTCCGGGGAGGCCTCGCCTGAGCGAGGAGGGCATCGGAAACCCATACTATTTAAATGGTTTCGATGCCCCTCCACCCCTCCAGGGAGGCCACCGCCTCGAGGGCCGAGGAGGGTACAAGCACGGAATACCATACTAGTTACCCATGGTTTCGGCCCCTCCCACCCCTCCAGGGAGCCCCGCCTGAGCGAGGAGGGTATCGGAAACCCATACTATTCACATGGTTTCGTGCCCCTCCCACCCTTCCAGGGAGGCCCCGCCTGAGCGAGGAGGGTATCGGAAACCCATACTATTCACATGGTTTCGTGCCTTTCCCACCCCTCCAGGGAGCCCCGCCTGAGCGAGGAGGGTATCGGAAAACCATACTATTTACATAGTTGCGTGCCCCTCCCACCTCTCCAGGGAGGCTCCGCCTGAGCGAGGA